AAGAGAAAATCTATGAAAACATCTGCAGAGAGGCTGGTGTATACCACATGATCAACAAGTGGGAGTCTGCTTTTCTTGCCGTGGCCTGCTCATGAGTGCCCTTTGTCAAGAGGCTCTGTAGGGGATATAGGAGGGGGATTTCGGGCCTCTCCCAATCCAGGAAGGGGCGATTTTATACTTCATCATGGACCCTGACTAGCCATCTCAGCATGAAGAAGGTGCTCTTACTGGTAGTATAAAGGTCTTACCTGTAACAGCTCATCAATAGCTGTCAGCATGTTTTGATCCAGAAAGATCTGCCTCTTAGGATCCATTAAAAGTTTTGCGTTCATGGCCTTGAACTCTACCTGGTACATCTTCAAATCCTCATAGATACTGCTAAGGCACAGGGTCTAAGTGATATGACAAAATGGGGAAAGAACCACTGAGATGGCTAAAAATGTTTCCCCCACATTGCATTTGAGGGAAGAAAGAGTATTTGTGTCTTACCGTCATAAAAGATGCCTTTCTGGAGGCCAGGCGACTCCCATTCTAGAAGAAAAAATAATGAGACATCAATGATATGAATTCATCATGTAGGCTGAAACCTTTAATTTTCTGACTTACAGTTATCAAAGAGATCTCTCTGGAAGCCAGGCAACTCTCATTCTAGAGAAAAAAAAAATCACATCAAAGATATTAATTCTTAATATACGTCTTCCCGGCTTTTCTCACACATATCTTTTTTATTGTGGTAAAAAACACATAACATAAAATTTACCATCTTTACTACTCTTAAGTGTACAGTTCAATAGTATTAAGTATATTCACATTGTTGTAAAACACATATTTGTTGTATATATATATATATATATATTTTTTAAATTCAACTTCTGAAGTGGGACCTGTTAAAATCTCACAATGATAGAAACCAGAAACATGCACATTTTTGGAAGAAGATGAGGTCTGATGCCTAGCTCTTAACTGTATTACATGCTTGGGGAAGAAAATCATCTATACCATGGTTAATTCCAATGGTAAGCAGGCCTCCACTGTGCTGGTTTTATCCTTTGTGATATCTTCATGATCAATCTCTTCGGAAGTGCAGGAATAAAGTTCTAGGGTTTGTCTGGCCTGTAAAAAACATAAAGAGTAACCCAGCTTATATTATTAATAAGGCACCTGGCTTCATATAAGGCTGGCCCCGCAGGCTGCCAGCAAAAAGAGAGCCGGCTGCTTCTGACATCCATCTCTTTGACCTGTAGGAAATTTGGGATCTTCCTAAGACAAAAGGAAACAGGTTATTTATATTCTCTCTCCATCCCTCCTCTCCCTTTGCTTAGGACCTGTTTCTCTGGATGATCCATTTTTCCATTATGTAAACACTATAAATCATTTCAACAGGCTATGCTAATCAGCATCTACACCATGCTGTGACACTTGTTTCTGGTGAAGACAGTTTTTTCCTTTTGCCAAAGCACCTGTGTTTTATGAATATCCTTTTCAAGTAGAACTTCTAAAGGCAGAACTGTTAAGGTCCCAACCTGATGGATATAACAAACATGTAGCCCTAAAGACAAGTGGACATTTAATTTGCGGTTCAGATACACATACACAACCACACACACAGATGTCATCTTAGGAGCATGCTGGAAAGCACTGTTGAATTAGAATTATGAAATTTATCTAAGAAGTCCGTAAATTTGATTGAAGATTGAGATCATTTTTCTGTTCATTGAGCCCCAAGTGTATGAGCAGTCCCCCCTCTTATCTGTGGCTTCACTTCCCTTGGTTTCAGTTGCCTGCCGGCAACCGTGGTTCGGAAGGAGACGCTCCTCCTTCCAACGCGCATAGCCTTATGCTACGTCGCAGTGCCCCGTGTCACTCACTTTACTTCACCCCATCACGTAGGCATTATATCATCTCATATCATCACAAGAAGGGTGAGTACGGTACAGTAAGGTATGTAGAGACCACATTCCCATAACTTATGTTGTTAGAATGGCTCTATTTTATTATCAGTTATTATTATTAATCTCTTATTGTGCCTAGTTTAGAAATTAAACTTTATCATAGGTATGTGTGTATAGGAAAAGAACACAATATAGGGTTTGGTACTGTCTGCAGTTTCAGAGGTCCACTGGGGGTCTTGGAAAGTATCCCCCTTGGATAAGGGGGGACTTACTGTACTAAGGAACATGACAAAGAAAAGGACTATCATCTGCTGCTCCCTTCCCAGATTCCAAGTTCAACTGCAGAGACAGGAAAGTGCCCAAATGATGAGGAGTCATGTCAGCAGGTGAGAAGTACTGAGAAGGGTATGAAGGCTTCACCAGAGATGAGACATCTGCATTAAGAGGATTAGAAGGTGGCAGGCAGAGGAGAGAGAATTTCAGGCAGAGGGAACTGCATGAACCATAATCGAGACTTGAGATGCAGAGCATGTTTGGAAACAAGTAGTAAAATCTCTGTGGTAAGCAGAATAATGCCCTATCCCCCAACCCCACATCCACTTCCTAACCCCTGGAACCTGAGAATATGTTACACGGCCAAGGGGAATTGCAGTTGCTGATGAAATGAAGGTTGTTAATCAGCTGACTTACAATAGGGAGGTTATCTTGGATTATCTGGGTGGGTCCAATGTAATTCCTGGGTCACCATCAGAATAATGCAGCATGTGGACAACTCAACTGGCCATTGCTGGCTTTGAGGATGGAAGGGGGCTATACACCAGGGAATGGGGGTTGCCTCTAGAAGCTGAAAAAGGCAAGAAAATGGATTCTCCCCTAGAGTCTTCAGAAGGGACATAGCTCTGCTCACACCTGGACTCTAGCCTATTTCAGATTTCTGAACTCCAGGGCTGTAAGATAAGAAATTGGTGTGGTTTAAAGCCGCTTACTTTGTGGTAATTCGTTATACGGGAAATGGGAAACTACACACTGGTCCTGGAGGTGTTCACACACACCTGGGCAGTCACAATCCTGAGCAGGTGGTAAAGAATTACATTTTGGAAATATGGTCCCTCTGTTGTAGTTCTTTAGATCTTTTCAAGAGAAGCTGGAAATCTGGATTCTTATATGAAAGGTCCTCTTTTTCAATGGCATCAAACTCAAAATCAAAGACAAAAGGTATGGACCAAACTCTACAAATCTGTGGGCTGTAAATCGCATGCATTTGCCACCTCTTTCTTCTGTAAGTAGCCAGCTGATTTGTTCTAGCTAATTTGACAAAGGAATGGTATAAAAAAATATCAAACTGAGTTCTGCAGTCTTTTGACCATTAATGCTATACTGGGGAGTCGAAGAGTTAGCTTTTTCACATAAAGCATCTATTTAAATTGCAGCTCCTCAATTGTATCCATATTGAAACTTTCTTCAGGAGTCAAAGCACTTTTCTCTGCAGTTTTCACTTGGCCTTTTTAATTAAGATTGAACTGTGAGAAGCAATTGGCAGCACATTGTGAAAGCTTAGAGGGGGAAAAGAATTCTTTAGAAGGCCTTGTGGCCTTGAGCTTATTTTAATATATTCATAAAACAACAAGCTAGAAAATATTCAGGAAAGATTTACTAGAGAACAAGAAGCCAAAAGACAACTTTTAAAACGTCAGTCTTCGGCTGTTCCAGCAGAAGCTATAGGTATAGAAGTACTTTTAAAAGGAAAGAAGATGTTTTTGCATTAAAATATGAAACCTAAAAAAATGAATGAAGCTGTAAATAATATTAGATAACTCTCTCCCTGGAAAATGAAGGCTGGATGCCCACTGTCATAGGCCCCCTGGAATGTGTTGCTCAGACAGAGAACTGTGTTACCACACTGGAAGCTGGTGAGCAATGTGAGGGGCAAATCTAATTCATCTTTGTAGCCCCTGGAGCACAGAGGCTGCACCTAATAATGGTTTCCTGGATTGATAAGTGTGTCAGAAAAACAGTGTGGGCCTGACACAATTCCATCTCTGTTGGCAGGCTACAGGGCACACTGTAAATATCCACTTTCCTCTGTGTAGACATAGCCAAAATGAGTGCCATTATAATTTATTACCACTCTTGCTTTCTCTGGAGACACAATTCCATTGAGACTCTTTAGCTAATAGTTGGGCCCTTTGTAAAGTTCTGTCTCCCCGTCTTGACAGCTCCTGATTAACGTCCCCAATTTCTCCGCAGTTCTCTTCAGGTGACCAGGGGTTCAGAGAAGCCCCTTCCCTAGAGAGGCTGCAAAGTGGGAACAAGAATATTGAAAAACTCACCTTCTGAAGCGTGTTGCTGATGGCTTTCAGCAGGTTTTGGGAGTGGTTGAGGCACTGGAACATCCCTGGGCTTGGTGAGGCTGTGGGGAGGCTCCTGGCCAAACTGAGGCGGTCCAGGTGGTTTAGGAGGACCAGGATGGTCACAAGGAGGAGGCCTGGAAAGGAAGAGGAGCAGGCTGAGCTTGTCAGCTTGGTTTGGCCTGCCTCTACCTTCTATTCATTCTGGTCATCTCCACCCATCCACATCTTAACCACACCAACCTCCCTCCACCATTTCCAATCTTCCTTCAACACCTGAGAAATGAATCAAGTTCTTGGAAGGCAGGGCTCTATTGTAGGGCTAGAAGCCAACCTGTGAGAGCCCCCTAATGAGCTCAGACAAGGATGTTGGATTCAGCGCTCACCCAGAAAAAGCCTCTGTTTCACCAGTAGGGAAACTGAGGCCAGGCAGGGAAGTAACTAGCCTAGACTCATGGCCTAATGTTTTGGAAACAGCGGGGAGACAGCCTCACTTTGCTGGCTGGGATCTGCCCTCTCATAGCTGTAGCGGAGGGACCCTGAGAAAGAAAGGTACCGCGTGGGGCCTCAGTTTCAAACCTGTGAAGTGGGCATAATGATAGCCCACGAGGCTGTTTCTAGATAAGGCGACAGTGTCCTAGTTAGGGCATGGTAAGCACGCAGTCATTCTTTCTTCCACCTCCGCACGAGGTTGCGCACTGCCCTCCCGGCTTCCCTTAGCGGCTCCCAACCTTCTGCCTCCTCTTCCCCGGCTGCCGCCCCTCCCGACCCGAGCGGCGGCGAGCGCGCTGAGCGCGGCGTCTCGGGTCCCGCTGGGGACTCACCGCGCGGCGGGCACATGCTGAGCGGGCCCTGCGTGGACGCTGGGCCGGCGCTGGACGCGGACTGAGGGCGCAGCAGGTGAGGGCGGTGGTGGGAGGCCGACCCAGGGGGTCACATTTTTATAATTGTCCCGAGGCGCGGCAGGACTTTCCCGGGACTCTGGTCTCCTGCTTGCTTTCTCTCTCTGTCTCTCTCTACATCAGCTTCTCGGTGACACGTGGAGTTCGGCCCGCGGGGTTTGCGGCGCTTTCGGATTAACTCCACGGTGCCCGGCCGCAGCTGTTCTGGGGACGGCCCCGCCGCCTCCAGCTGGCCCAAAGCGAAAGCGAAATTCGCGCAGAGTCGCGGCGCAGGGTCCGCGGGCAAGCCCGAGCCCTCGCGGGCCACCCTCGGTCCCCGGCCTCAGACGCCCCGCCCCTGGCCATCCAGCCCTCGCCCCGCCGCCCTGCAGCGCCCCCTCCCCACGCAGCGCCGAGTGGTGCCCCTCACTATCCATCTACATCCAGCATGTGCCCTGATCGTGACCGCCCACCCAGTCCTGAAGGGGCGTTCGTCATTCATCCGCTCATCATTTGTTCATTCAGAGGGGCCACCGTGTGCCAGGTTGACATTGTGCTAGGCGTTTGGCACCCAGTGGTGAACAGGTCCCTTTGGGGGCACTCCCACACTCAATCTGACTCCATGTATTTTATTCACGGTTGTATCTTAAATATGAACAGAGATGAAACCAGACTGGTTATGCAATAAACTATTGTCATAGAGAATCCGGTTTCCTACAGTGAGACAATGTTATGATTTAGTGGGACGGATGCACAGGGTCTTAGGAGAAGCCCAGAGAGAGGGCACCTCAGCAGGACAAAGGGGTGAGGAGGCAATGAAGGCTCCCAGGAGCAGGGCCCCCCAACATGCTTCTAGGGGCATTAGACTGTTCCCACTAAATGGGATGCAGGTTCTAGGTAGGGGGAACAGGGATCAGAAGCACAGTCAGGGAGGGTAGAGGGAAGTGGGGATCTGGGGGTCCTGCCATCAGGGTGTGAGGTTGGAGAGAGCAATGGGGCTGTGCTATGAGAGTAGTAGCTGCCATGCTAGGGAGCATCTGCTCTGACGGTGGTGGGGAGCCTTCTAAGGTTTTAGGCAGGAGACATGGTTAGAGAGGCATGAGGAAGATTCCCTTCGGCAGTAGTATGGAAGGTGGATCCCAGGGGTCAGGAGTAGAGCACAGGGAGCAGCTGGGAGGGTATGGCCAAGGCCTCAATCAGAATGGGGAGGAGAGAGTGGGCCAGAGAGACTCTCAGGGTGCTGAGTGGCCAAGGCTTGGTAACTCCTTAGGTGTGATGGGCAGGAAGGTGCTGAGGATGGTGGAATGGAGATTGTTCCAGGGCCCGGGCAGGGGTTACTGTAAGAGGGGAGTGATTTTGGAGGAGATGGTGAGAAGTTCCATTTTGGATGTACTGGGTGTAAGGTTCCTGTGGGGCTTTTCAGTTCACTCATCTCTACCACAAGTGTTAGTCACCCTGGGTATGTGTAAAAGGAAGGGGTGTGTTTGGTCACCTACTCAGAGCTTCTGATGGGTCTGACTGTGCTCAGGCTCCAGGACTACATAATGGAGCCACCAATACCCACTTCTGTACAGATGAACCAATCTTGAATAGGGAAAAGCCTTGAGGATGCAAGGAAGAAGAGTGGATGTTTCCTCTTTCTCTCCTCTAAGTCCCCATTGAAGTCAGGATGGATGAGTCACTATAAGCCTTGAGATGCTGCCAGGAATGCTAAGCATGGCCAATTGAAGCTGGAGTGATGAAGCCAATTAGGAGAAAGCTGTGTTAGCCTCTAGTCTGACTCAAGCTCTCTCAGTTGTTAGCATCAGCCCCCCAAGGTGTATCATCTGCTCAAGGGTGATGAGGCACCCACTATAGGGACTTTCAGATGTGTGTAAAATGAGAGCAACACTTGATCTCTAAGGCTCCTTCCAATGCTGCTGTCTGTGAATTCCCCCATGGGGATGGAGACCAATGTGTTGTCAGAAGCAATTGCATCTAGCAGATTGTGTGAAGCAAGTGACAGGTGCAGAGCGGTGTTGTTGCTATAGGGCTTTAGGATGGAATTAAATGTACTTAAAGTCAGAATGAAGTCAAATTTATCACAACTGAGCTATGTCTCCCCTGGAAGGGCTATCTCCTAAGGAAAAGTAATTTCTGTGGCATAAATAAGCACAGGGCCTGTCTGCTTAGAATGGATTCTTGACCACCAGACACAATTTCTAACCTATACTCTGTGAAACAGTTCTCTGATGTGCTGCATATAGTATAGCCAAGATAAAATGAAAACCTTCTTCTAGGACAACATTGCTTTTTTTAAGAGACATTCTTTGTCCCTGATCTCTTCTACAGAGAGTCTACCATTTACTGGAAGTCTTGGCCAGTGCTATAAGGCAAGAAAAAGGAATGAGAAGACTTAAAAATTGGAAAGGACAAGACAAAATGGCCATTATTGACAGTTGATATACCAAAAAAAAAAAAAAAAAAAAAAAGGCAACAGAAACAATAGACCATAGAACTAATTAGAGAAATCAGCAACTTCAATGGATGCAAATATCAACTACATTTCTGGAATTAAAAAAAAAAAGAACACTGGTGATGTATGGAACTGTTGAATCACTATATTGTACACCCGAAGCTAATGTAACACTTTATGTTAACTATACTGGAATAAAAATTAAAAAAAAGAACAACATTTGTCTACAACTGCAACAATAAATTAGAAAATATAATAAAAATAATTTATCAGATAATGAATGAATAATAATACAAAGAAGATACCATTCACAATAGCAGCCAAACTATAAAGTTTATAAAGTTACTGCCTGTAAACTGAGAGGCAATACAGTGGTTAAGAGTATGGACTATAAATTATTTGAATGTAGGCTCTGTTACTTACTTTACTCACTTGCAGTGAGTTCTTGGGCAAGTCCCTTATTTCTCTGGGCTCAGTTTCCTCATTTGGAAAATGGTGATACTAGAAGATTAAATGGTTGTTGTGATTATTACATGAGTTAGTGTAAGTATAGAATAGTCTTTGGAAAAAAAAATTTAAAGGCTAATCAAGAACATAGAGTGATTTAATTTAAATGGAAACACATTCCATACCCTTGGGTAGAAGATCTTAATATATAAAGAGCTCAGGTCTATCCTAATTAATTCACGTATTCAATGCAATCCCAATGCAGATTACAAATAATTTTCTGAGGAACTTAATAATAAGCCTACCATAACATGTATATGTAAGAATAAAAGCCATGAATATCTAAGCTAAACTTGTAAAGGAGTCATAAACAGGGGGAGTAGCCCAGATATAAAGACATCATTCAAAGCAATAGTAATAAGAATAGTGTTTGGCAAAAGAATGGCCAAATAGACCATTGAAACAAAATAGAGAAATTAGAGACAGACGTGTACATATGAGTATTTAGTATAAGATTCAGATGGCACCCAGGTCAGTGAAGAAAACATGGATTGTTTAGTAGAAAATGTTCACTATATGGTGAAATATAAAACTGGACTCCAACCTAAAACAGCATACAGAGATAAATCCACTTGGAAGCAGATTAAAGACTAAATAAGAAAAGTAAAATTGTTATAGTGTTAGAGGACAATGTAGGAGGCTATCTTTGTCACTCATGAATGGGGAGGACTTCTTAAAAACATCAAAGCTCCAAGCCATAAGGCAAAATACTGATAAATTTGATTACCGAAAAACTAAGAATTTTTTAAAAAAGATTTTATTTATTTATTATTTGAGCTACAGATCGAGAGAGAGAGAGAGAGAGAGAGCATGAGCAGGGGACAGAGGGAGAGGGAGAAGCAGGTCCCCACTGAGCAGAGAGCCCTATGTGGGGCTCGATCCTAGGACCCTGAGATCAGGACCTGAGCTGAAGGCAGACGCTTGACCGACTGAGCCACCCAGGTGCCCCGAAACTAAGAATTTCTGTAGTATGAATTTCTGTTAAGCATGGACAGTTAACAGACAGCTGACTGAAGGGGAGAAGATATTTTGCACTGTCCCATAGGAGAGTAGACCAGGACCTCTTTGCAAGTCAACAAGAAAAAGACAGAAACCCCAGTGAAAATTGGTAAAGCTTATGAACAAGTGATTTACAGAGAGGAAACCCCCAAGGCTAACCAGCATAATGAGATGCCCGGATATATTATAATCAGAAAAACACAAATGAAAGAAAGAATGAGGTACCACTTTATACCTATTAGATTGGCAAAAATTAGAACATTGGATACTGACAAGTGTCGGGTGGGAATGTTGGATTCCAGAATATTTTTTTTTAATTTTTTAATTTTTTTAAAGACTATTTATTTATTTGACAGAGAGAGACACAGCGAGAGAGGGAACACAAGCAGGGGGAGTGGGAGAGGGGAAGCAGGCTTCCCGCTGATCAGGGAGCCCGATGCGGGGCTCGATGCAGGGCTCGATCCCAGGACCCTGGGATTATGACCTGAGCCAAAGGCAGACGCTTAACGACTGAGCCACCCAGGCGCCCTCCAGAATACTTTATATAATGCAAGTAGACCGATGCAGCTATGTCCTGTCATCTGACTCGGTCAGATTAAATACATGCACACCTGAGAACTCAGTGTTCTACCTTCGGTGTCTATCCCAAAGAGATTCTTACGCAGGCTCACAAAGGGACATATATGAGGACATCCAGCAAGTCATTCTTTGTAGCAGCAGGGAGTTGGAAGCTGATCTGGGTGGAATCAGGTTCTGGACAACTCAAAATGAGAATTTTTCCCTAATCCATCTCACAGGAGGAATGACTCATCTCTTCTGGCCAAAACAGTTAGACAGGAAGACATTTAAACTCAACTGTTTGGTATCATATACCTCTGTTTATTTGGTGACCCACTGCATGGGAAATTTATAGGGTCTGATAACACTGATCTCAGAGTATGGAGAAGGAAAATGGGACAGGAAAACACTGGGCATATTTGTACTTCTGAAAGGGAAGAGTTGAATCAGTTTTCTGTTCCCAAATACTACCTTTTGGCAGGAGACCCAAGCTTTTTATT